GTAGAAAAATGAGAATGAGAATGAGATAAAAAATGGGTGTCAAACAGGGGCTAAAATTCCTGTTGAATTACAGAACTTGAAGTTGAAAGGCTTAATTTGATGAATAATCACCTCTATGGATCTATACTATTCTAAGGTTTTTGATAGGCTTTTGTCACGTTTTTTTAGCGATTATCATTTTATTTTTGGGGATTTCTATTACTTTTTTAATGTCACTTTTTTTTTAATTTTCTGTCACTTTTTTTAGTTGTTGTCATTTTTTCTATCAATTTTTAAAAATTTCTGTCATTTTTTATTATTTGTTATTTTTTTTTTGAATTGTTGTCACTTTTTAAGGGTTTGTCACCTTTTTTTTCTTATATTCTGTCGTTTTTTGAAGTTTTTGTCAACTTTTTTTTATTGTTTGATAGTTTTGTTTTTAGTTTTTGTCACTTTTTTTTAGGTTTTTGTCACATTTTAAGTTTTGTCACTTTTTAAGAAGATAAAAAAAAATTATATAATATGTTATATTTTCCTAACATAATCAGCACGTGGATTGGATTAACCAGGACGTACTGATTATTTTAAGAACATGATTACTGATATTGCACAAATTGATGATACTATTTTGGTATTTATCACTTTTTTTGAGTCACTTTTTGAGTTTGTCACTTTTTATATATAGAAGATATCAATGACATGGTTAGTATCTTGAATTAAATATGACTTAAATGAGGGATGACAAAAAATTCCGTCAAATCTGATACGTGTCGGGCCCCATCCCGAATGGTGGGGATTACCCACTTAATCAGGTATTCGGATTGGGAACGGTGCAGGGGACTTCGTCCCTGGGCAGGTACGGATAACAAGGGCCCCGCCCCATTTAACTTTTCATTTTTTGATTTTTTTTATTAATAATTCAAAATTTTTAATGAAAAACTCCAAGAAATTTTATTAGTTATAATAGAAGATGTCAACTAAGATTATATAATGAATATGACAAACAATAAGCCTTTGTTTACAAAATATATTTGAACAATTTAACTTTTAAAAATAAATAAATAAATAAATTAATATATTATTGTCCAACTTCATATTTGAACAATTTAACTTTTAAAAATAAATAAATTAATGAATTAATATATTATTGTCCAACTTCAATGAATGAGGGAAATAAAATGAATTATCAAAAACTATATAAAAAAAATAAAATTTGAACGGATAGTAAATGGGGCAAGGGCCCGCTACACCTTAAACGGATAACGAGGTGGGTACGAGGAGGAAAATTATCCAGCGGCCCGCCCCCGTTACCATTCCTATAAATGATTAAGAAATAGATGTATATGACATGCTTGCTTGTTTTAATCTATGTTTGTGAAGATGTTCATAAATAGTAGTATTTATAAGCAAATAAAAATGAGTGGTGAAAAAATGGAAATCACTTTTAAAAATTACAATATATATGAATAAAAAATGATTTCATTAGTAATATTTTTTATTCAAAGTGTTTATAAACGCCTTTCAAAAGATATGCTTAATCAATGTACTGAGCATGCCTTTTGAGATCGTAAGCACTTAAAATTTCTATTTGGTTGAGATTAAAATAAATTTTTTAATATAATTTAATAAAAGTTGATGAAATATTTTATGTAGTTGAAAAGTTGTGAGTTCTAAAAATATGTGATTTAAATTAAAATTATTGACTTTGACTTTAGCGGTACGGATCATGGGCAAAATAACTTTGAACGTGTTTGAATAAATAAAAAAATTCCCTGAATTTGTGAAAGTCAATTAAAAAATAAAACTATTGCGATTAGAGCTGTCAAAAAAGTCCAACCGGCCCACTTGGGTAGCCTTGCTAACCAGAATTGCTTCAATACTTTTGACCATTTGATTAATCATACGAGTGTATGACTATATGTTACCCTAATAAATAATAAAGTGATGAATTAAATATCTAGTTTTGAAATTAAATAATCATAATTTAATTGAAGAGACACAATTCTTTTCTCAATAATATTTATCAAATACCCATCAAAGAGGGATGATTTCTCCAATCAAAAATGCTTAATGTACAGTCAAAATTGTACAGCAATTTCGACAGCCTTCTCCAATGGGTGGGGCCCACAATTATTTTAATCGTGAACCCCACCAAATGTATGTGAGAGAGCTGTCAAAATTAATATCAAAATTGATGTAACTCTGACGTTGTTCTTCTCCAATTTAGAGGTTTCAAGTGGGACCCCCGTTTTAGAAGCTCCAGCTGGGCATGTGCTATAGTCTAGACAAGATCCGTGTTCTTGGCATGACATGGTCAAATAATTCGCAGCCAACTCGACTCATGGCATGGTCTATATCGAAAGTCTTCTAGGGCCGTTCACATATAACATTAGTTACAAGTCAAACTTCCTATCCAAAACATGTATTTCTTAAGCATGCTGTCAACATTCAATGTTTGTTACAAGTCAGATTTTTAACGAATTTTGATAAAAAAAAATAATAATTAAATATGTAATAAAAAAGTTGATAAAAATTATTGATCTCATGAAATTTCTAGTTAAAATAAATTATTGATTTTTGAATAGTGATTTTTAGAAGAATATGTGATTAAAAAGTATAGAGATGTTTTGAATTTACGTGCAAAATATTTTACTGTGTGAATGTGTGGTTGAAAATAAAAAATTAGAAAAGAGAGTTTGAAAATAATAGTTGTCAAACAGAGACTTAAAATACTTTTTTCCGTATAGAATATACGTGTGGTGCGTGACTAGTGGTGTCGACTATTATACCATTTTTTGACTTTCAAGATAATAAAAGTTGAATATAGGAAGTAGGAAGTAGTGACCATAATCAACCATTACATAATTCAGGGTTTGACAATTTACATAATGGCCTCTTATTGGAAACACCACCTACCCCCAACCCCCTCCTCGTCCCTCTAATGTTGAATCTTTATTTCATCCTTATTTTTTAAATTCATTTTCAATCACCTATTTTGTCACGTTCTATCAAAACCAAAGAGGGGCTAAATTAAAAAAAAAAACACATTATTAGTCTCCCATATAAGCAAGCACCGTCCAATATTCAACCCTTTTCTCCATAAATCTTGTACTCGTCGATTGAATTCAAGTAGTCAACCTTCAAACCGACTAAACCCCATTTCTTCTTATTTCATTGCTCAATGCTTTCCCTCCAAACCCTAATTCTCCTACATTTTTCTCCACATGGCCATGAAAATTCTCCATCTATTATATCCCATTCTTTGCCTCTTTCTCTTCCTACAACTATTTCATGACTGCTACACCCTCAAAGACCTCAATAATGGCTCTTCATATCATCCTTTGATCCATAGGAAAGCACTGGCCACTAGCAGAAAGTTTGACTTTAAGCCGTTTCTCAATCGCATCCGCCACCGGAAACCTCCACCGGATCTTCACCAGCAGCCGGCCACACCGGGAAACGAGATCGACCCACGTTATGGTGTGGAAAAGCGCCGTGTCCCTACTGGACCAAACCCTTTACACCATTAAGCTTTAGAAGATGCATGAAGTGAAGATATATAAACATATTGGTCATACAACAAAATGGTTAGTCATCAGATGTGATTTTCATTTGTAATTTGGAGATCATGGCATATGGTCAAGTGAGTTTTATTAATGTAAATTATTTATCTAAAATCTTAGAATTTTTAGTAGATATCATATGAATGTTTTTTTTCCCCCTTTTATCATAAATAAAAAGTCGATAATTCGTTGCAATTATGTTTGATAAACTTTTTATGTTCATAGTAGTAATGAAATTTCAAAGAAACATGAGTAAACGTGACGGCACGGCAGATAGGGAAGTTGGGTACTTAGCCTACACATCATGATATTAATTAAAAGGATTAATTTTGTTGATTTCAAAAAATGCACCTCCAACGTGGCCAAGAGATCCTCAAGGCCTCTCAAGTCCACGCAAGTCTAGTTCCTGAACACTGGCTTCTTCCAACGAGGGTGGAGTCGGTCGCGCACACTCGGACGGTTAAGTCAGTTGGAGAAGTAAATATATGAGTGTGGGAGAACTCTAGACGTGAACCTCCAATATAAAAAATGGGGTTGACTTTATGAGTAATAGATAAAACAATGATATAACAAAATTATAGCTTGAGAGTCTAAATTTGCATTACCATGAAATGACATTAAGTGTGAGTTTTTATAGTATAAAATAATGAGTAAGAGTTGTTGGATGAAGAGACATGTGGTCTCATCCTAACGGTTGGGGTCTCTTTTTACTGCTAGGTAGCCAGAGGTCTCACATGAAATACTAGACTTGACTTATTTGATTGAGAAAAGCCGCATATTCAGTGACTTGTCACATTATCTACTTGATACAAGATCTTGTATAAAGATCTTCTAGGAATGGCAACGAGGCGGGGTCAACGGGATGAGGTCGGGCAACCTCCTCTGCCAGGCAATTCCCCGCCCCATTCCAGTCCCCGCTCCCGATCTGTTACCCGTTTAAGGCAGAGCAGACCCTTGTCCCGTTTACTATCCCATTTATTTTTTTTTAAGTTTGTGAGAATTCATTTTATTGTCCACATTCATTAAATTGAAACAATAATATAGTTTTTAATTTTTTCTTATTTTAAAAAGTTAAATTATTCAAATATATTTGATAAACTAAGATTTTTATTATTTATCATATTTTTTAGATAATTTTAGTTGTAATTTTCTATTAGAATTAATGAAATTGCATGAAATTTTTCATTTAAAGAATTGAATTATAAAAAAATATATATATAAAAGGGGGCAGGGCACCCATTACCCGTCCTGTCCCGTCCCCGATCCGAATACCCGATTAAGCGAATAATCTCGCCTCTTTCGGGACGGGCCCGCAGGTATTGGGTTTGTCGAATTTTTTTGTCATCTAAGATTTTCTCTGAAACGCCTCAACCTATCTTATCTCAACCATGAGGGCTCAGCTTCGCAAGGGGGCTCAGCCATTGGGGATTCTATAAAATTGCCACATGGGCGGAATGGCGTGGCATGGAGTGTAGACCTAGGTTCACTTGATGTGTAACTACCACTTGGCCCTGCAGAGTTTCGTTGGAAGAGGTGTAACAATAGTTTCCCAAATTCATGTATATTTATATAATGTGTGGACTTTGTATGTACTATATGAGTAAAATTTTGATACAGTTTTCGAACCTGATTTAAGAAAATGCCCTTATATTTAGGGAAGCCTTTTAGATGAAGCCCATGATAAGGTTCAACTGAACTTGGGCGAGACCCTTTGCATGAAGGAGATCTGTTTGGGAAGTGGCAGTCGTTGATAAGGCTGAATTAAATTTGGTCGAGGTCTTTCGCATAAGAAATAGCCCCTTTGAGAAGAGGTGCATTAATAAGGCTGAATTCGAATTGGCCGAGGCCCTTTACAGAAGGGGATAGCCCCTTTGGGAAGAGGCAGCCGTTGATAAGGTTGAATTGAACTTGGCTGAGGCCCTTTGTATTAGAAAGAGCACCTTTGGAAAGAGGCTATCATTAATAAAGTTGAATTGAACTTGACTGAGGCCCTTTGCAGAAGGGAGAGCCCCATCGAGAAGAAGCAATATTTGAAAAGCCTAAATTGAACTTGGTCGATGCCCTTTGCATAAGAAAGAGCCCATTTGGAAAGAGGCGGCCGTTGATAAAACTGAATTGAACTTAGCCCTGGCATAAAAAAGAGCAAATTTGGGAAGAGACAGCCATTGATAAGGTTGAATTTAGCTTGGCCGAGGCCCTTTGCAGAATGGAGAGCCCATTCAGGAAGAGGCAATTGCTGATAAGGCTGAAAACTTGGCCGAGGTTTCTTTCATAAGGAAGAGCCCACTTGGAAAGAGGCAACCATTGATAAGGTTAAATTGAACTTGATTGAGGCCATTTACATAAGGGAGAGCTCATTAGGAAAGAGGCAGTCGTTGGTAAGACTGAATTGAATTTGGACGAGGCCATTTACATAAGGAAGAGCCTCTTTAGGAAGAAGCACCCGTTGATAAGGCTTATTTGAACTTGACAAAGGCCCTTTGTAGGAGAGCCCCTTCGGGAAGAGGTAG